ATGCATACCACCAGACCGTAATATTAGGTATCCCAAAATATGTGAATTCTAATCATGAGAAAATTACAACTTTGATTATTTTATTTTTTTTAATTTTGGTATTAAAAAAATTAAACAAGTGGAGTTTTGGGATGACCAAATTGTTATTTATGAGAGCAATGATGCTTACCATTTACCATACTCATTTGCATTTTATCTGGTTGGCAGCATGCTTAAACATAATAATAGTACTGACTTGTAATAAATCATTCTGTCAAATACTGCATACATTCATTAATTTTGGGGCACAATATTTTCCCATCTGGCTCTACACACAACTGGTAGAAATTATAGAGAGTTTGGTCCACTCATGGCCAAAGTTCACTCACTTGAATTCCTATTTTTGGTTTCAAACAACTTTTTCTTCAACAGTCCGGGACTCCTGGAAATAACAATGACGATTGTTTAAAAAATTTGATTAGTTGATAAGCTGAACTACCGAAGACAAATTTGAATAAAAAACTGAGCACTTGAGTTTTAGAATTTGGGTTTTTTCATTGATGAAAAACAACAAAGATGCTGAGACAATTTTGGACCACCATATTGCCAATAATATCAATGTGTGGGGCAAATCCTGTATAACAACTTATTCATAGAGGAATCTCTGGTCGAAGGAGCACCTCAGCCTTAGCCGGAAATTAGAGAGAAAAACAAAGTTGCTATAACTTTTCTTTATCTCCCAACATGTGTGAATGTGTTATCTAAATGTGACAGTTGATGATATTTTATTTTCATCTAAAAATAATGTGAAAACGAAATACAAATTAATCTACACCGCGAAAAAATGACTAGTACTTTTTCTATGTGAACTTGCAATCCACCACATGCTATGTTCTCCACGCATGGTTCATAAAATTGAATAAAAGATAAAAATACGCCAATTGCACATGAATTGTAAACTTCGTTGGAATTGTCAAATGAAAAAAATTTGAATACAATTTTTTTTTTCTTTGTTTCCAGAATGAAGGACAAAATTTGTTTAATTTGAATTACGAAGATGAAGATTCAAAATTCAATGGATGGGGAGAGCTAACACTCAGGTTTGTGAATTGCTTTTTCACTTCAATTAAAATTTGTTTCCAATGACCAACTTACGACTAGGTTAAGTTATTTTATGGTTAGAAAAATTATGTAACTGATTATAATACTTGCATGTAATTATACAATCATCTTCTTATTATATTAAATATATATATTCATATAAATTATATCATCGTCAAATAAAAAATTGGAAGAACTTTTGGGAACAAAAAATAGCAACGGTCGAGTCAATGTCCATTTGGAATAAATCAACACGCATACATTCACATCACATCCATTGAGTCAATGTTCCTTTCCCTTTATTAGACTCATTCCAACCCAAATTTCTTCCTATGTGCTACAAATTTCTAGTGACCTTCCTAAACAAAAAATAACCAAAAATAAATAAAGATGAAAAATAGGTTTTGGTCCACAACTCTTCTTGTCTTACTATTTGACTTCTGCTTCTAGTAAGGTTTATTATCACATGTTAATCTAAGATGGGTTAGTCAATCTAAGATGGGTTAGTCACTTAGTATTATGGTTTAATGATATTTCTTTTTATTTGTAAGTGAGAGATCTTAGGTTTGATTCTTGCGTAAAGATGAATTTGAACCATATTATTGCTAGCCCATTATGAGACTCAGCCTACTCCCCTACTCCCTTAGTATAGATAATATCGTTTGTTTAAAAAATTTAAGATGGATTAAGTGAGGTTTTGGACAAATAAAATCTTAAATTGTGCAATACTGCAATGCAATAGGAGGATCATAGATGATCATATGAAGAGGACATAGCTAGCTAGAGTTGAAAATCAGAGACCGACAATGTAAAACTAAGAAGAATGTTTTATTAATCGAAAACAGATAAACACTGCTGAGACGAATAATGGACTACATCTTGACACACTTGCTTCTCAAACTAAATTACAAGCTATATTTATAGCGATATAAACCTAAGAAGAATGTTTTATTAATCGGAAACAGATAAACACTGTTGAGACGGCTAATGGACTACATCTTGACACACTTACTTCTCAAACTAAATTACAAGCTATATTTATAGCGATATAAACCTAAGAAGAATGTTTTATTAATCGAAAACAGATAAACACTGTTGAGACGGCTAATGGACTACATCTTGACACACTTACTTCTCAAACTAAATTACAAGCTATATTTATAGCGATATAAATCTAAGAAACCCTAATACGTAAATGGCAAAAATACCCTAATACAAAATCAAGTCAATCAAATCTCTAATTAAATTCCTAAATAAACCTAATAAATTCCAACAGCTAGTTGTCACCTTAGTAATATATAATATTTTGTTTTAGAAGAAAGTTTGAATATGCATGAATTGTCATTGTTTGGAGATTTGGATCATCGATTATCATTGAGAGTTTTGGTTAGTTATGATCATATATAGGGAGGTATTTGGGATTACACCAAAGTGGTGACGGTAGCTGGATGTTTGAACTAGGATAAATTAGGTCAAGACTATGATTTTTAACTGTAACAAAGATATACTAATAGAAAGGTAAATTTTTAGTACGGCAATATAATAGAGATACTTCTATTTTAGTGGACATCAAATCTTATGAAAAATGACATTAAAAGTCCGTTTATATTCTACAATTCATATACTAAATATACTGCACATAGACGAGCTAGAATGCCTCTCTTTCATAATTTAAATTCTTATTGTTTTAAGAAAGCTCTAATTTAATCTGTCGCAGTCAGATGCTTGCTAATATGCAACTGAGAGTAATTACTAATTAAGTAAGTATTCACCTAAACAAAGATTGTTGGAAAGAAGGTATCTCTTTCCACTTTTCATTCAATTTTTTTTTTCTTTTCGGAAACACTTTTCATTCAATTTACAACAAAGGCACATGATCTTTGTAAGGCCTTTTTTTCATTCCTCTCACCAGTCACCACCACTCGAATGGCGAAAGTTCACAAAAATTAAAATTGAAATAAATTATAATTATATCTATACTTGTGAAAGTAACTTATACGAACTTGGTCACGGTTACATAGCGTCTAATTCAATAATTAAAATAAAAAACACTGTATAAGCATGAACCCGTTTCAACAAGGGATTTTGGTGATGCGTCCCACTTTGAAGATGAACCGCGTTGCGCGTTCCGTTCCGCTGACCTCATAGTTTGGCACCAAATGATTGTGCGCCACGTAGGTATTTGCCAGTTTGGTGATTGCCATGTTATGGACCCCAGATCTAGCTGTCTCCAATCAGCTAATCATCAAATTGGCGCACCCAATTCACAGGCTTCGGGTTGCCGGCTCGAGCCAGCCGTCATCCTAACCCTGTTGATTTGTTCATTGACCCGCCGGGGTTGATCTGCTGTGGCCTATTAATGCATATGGACCATGAACTTGTTTTATTGTGAAGTTACTTTAAATGCGATTGAATATCGATTTATACGACATAGGTACATCGTTACTGTAGTTTCTTGTGTTAATAAATAAACAACTTATTTTTTAGCTATATCTATTGAAATTCAATTTTGATCTTACTCTACTTTTGTAACTCAAAAGTCATCACTTTACTTCATGAAACTCAAAATTTATTCCATTTTGACTTGTGAACTCTCTCTTCTCCATGAAACTCAAAAGTAGCCCATGTGGAATATTGTGGGATCCATCATCCAATAAGACTATGACATATGTGCCAATGTATTTGATTATAAATCTCTACCAATGCGTTACATTCAACAATAACAAAAGATTAAGTTTAAAATAAAGAATTTTTTTGAAGGGAAAATACAATATTCATTGATAATAGTAAAAAACATACAAACTAAAGAATGGTGCATAACATGAGCCTCAATAACAACCTTGTCAATATTAAACCGGTCTAAAGAAAAAAGAACATCCCGCACCAATATAAAATTAAATTAAATTTTATCTTCTATAAGAATATTTAAAATAATATCTGAAGGGTTTTCAAGCCAAGCCACCTCAAGAACGGAGATGAGGCTAAACCTTGCAAGATGGTGTGCACTTTATTAGCCTCCCGTTTGCAGAAGCTAACGTTACCCTGAGAAGCATTCTCACAGTAATGAGTATATAACCGACTTATGTGAAAGTATTTGTCACGTTGCCCCGAATAAAGACAAAAATGGCTTGGACACACACAATAGGTTAGCAATTGGAATCAATGAGTCTTGAACAAAGTTAACTTCGACATCTAAGTTTATATAATAATCAGTGTCGGTAAAACATTTTCGATCGTTTAAACACCTTTATAAATCATGTTTTGTGATTAATCTATAGCTGTCATACATATCCATATCAGTTTCTAATTAACAAGTTAATTATTCGTTAAACAACACATAAAACCAATTGGAGATCAACAAGCCATCAGATGTGGATCCTCCCCTATGGAAATACCATTATTCTTAACAAGATAATATTATGAACTTAAGAACATTAGTGGAGTATGCTGCCGTTTGACTCTCAAAACTATGACCCCAATTAAATTTAGCTCTTGATTGAACTTTTTTTGGTAAATTAATTTCCTGAATTATTTGAAATTAATTAATTAACTTCTTATCGACAAATTGGATGAAATTTAATCGACATTATCGGCAAATACTGACACGTGATTAGCACTTGATTACTCTTGAGAGTAAAGTCATGCTAGTATCTGATGACAAAGTAAATGAAATTTTATTGAATATGTGAGGAGTTAATTGGCTTATTTTAAATTGATTTACAAAAAAATAGTTCATGAAGTCAAAATAGTTCATGAACAAATTTTTACCACTGAATCCACAAGCAGCGTGACGAACACCGACAATCCTCTCCGACAACACTGCTGCGAGAAGAAATTAATGAGAAAAAAATACACTTTTTCTTGCACGAGGGAGATCTCATCGATCGCTGCCATTGTTGCGCCATTCGAAAACTCCAAACTGGAGAACCCAAGGCCGCATCTCTTGGCCCCTCTTTCTCCGGATCGGTCATGGCCTCCAACCTACCGCTTTGAATCGACAGGAGCGTCAACGTCGCAAGTCCCACCCCAGACAAAGTCTCTATCGCCAGCAGCGTTGATTTGTCGACTGAAGATAGCAACGACGCCATTTCGAGGCATCATCTTCCTCGATTACTCTGCCTCCCTTAGTCTCGCTTGAAGCACTCATTGTTTTCTGGTTAGATCGATGACTTGCAGTCATCCTACACACACCGTTGCCCTTATCGTCGATGTCGGAGCAAACCCCAACAAGCTAAAATCCACGTGTTGTGGTTTAGTTCGCCATCAATAATGTAGAAATTTGAAGAGTTAGGGATTTTAGCTTGTTGGGTTTTTGATTTTTTGGTACGGCTGAGAAATTGGTGTTGCTTTTGCTTTGTTTGATGGATTAAGAGAAGGAAAGTAAGGATTTTTGTTTTTCTTGCTTCATTATGCATGTCTAAGCTAATAGTTTATAATTGGTGGGTGCTTTTTGGGTTGTTTGGGGGGGGGGGGGGGGGGGGAGGGCGGGGGGTTGGGGGGGAGGTGGAGGTGGGGGGGTAGGTCTTTGGATGGGAGGTGAAGAGAGATGATGAGAGGGAGGTGGTCGGGAGGGAACTGGATTTTTATTTATTTATTATTATTATTTTTAATAGGGTAAATTATTATAATATTTTTAATTTTTACCACGTGGCTCAAATTTGACAGTCACGTGGCACAAATGTGGCTGCCACGTCAACTCTTAACAGATCATTGGATGAAAAATATAACAGATGTATTATGTTGAAATAAAAGAGTACTTAAGGTATGAAAGTGAAATGTTTTGAAGATGTTGTATGAAATTATAATAGACCTCAAACCTGATGTGATAAAATGTAATTTACCAAAACAAAAAAAAGAGCATCCCGCACCAACATAAACTTAAATTAAATTTTATCTTCTACAAGAACATTTAAAATAATATGTGAAGGGTCTTCAAACCAAGCCACCTCAAGAACGGAGGTGAGGCTAAACCTTACAAGACGGTGTGCCACCTTATTAGCCTCCCGTTTGTAGAAGCTAACGTTACCCTGAGAAGCATTGCACAGTAAGCGTCGGACATCATCAAATGATGTGGGCAAATTAAGTGAAATTGGCGCTAGCCTCCTTTTGAGTACTTGCCACCACCATTAAGGCATCTCCTAGTTGCGGCTGGGCATCCCCAAGCTTCTCCGCAAACTTCCCCCTTGTGTCCCTCACCACCACTCCGCAGCCACCCATTTGACGACGCTCATCCCATGCCCCGTCAAAATTAATTTTCAGCCACGCTTGATCTGGTTTACACCACCTCTGAGGCTCTTTCATCTTGTAGCCAAGTTCACTACCATGCCACTTTTTATATTCTGTCTGCCACGACTGCACTCTGAAACGGATATCTCCTTGACTCGAGGCTACACCCCACCATAATAAAGAGTTTCGGTCAGTCCAAATGCCGCACACCGTGTACAACAGCAACTCAAAGCTATCTTTTGACAACGAAAGGGCCATCCTTGCGATCCAGTCCACGAACCCCTCACGCAAATCCCTAACCAATCCACAAGCTCAGTGCACTAGATAACCAAATTGCACTCGTCCTCGTAAAATAAAGAAATTAAGAATGAAATTTTTTTTTTTTGGGTTATTGTGCTTGAGTTGCAGAGAGGGAAAAATATAAAAATAAATTGACTATTTTGGTTTGGTGTATCCAAATCAAACTCACAAAACAAAATTAACAGAATAAAGGTAGCAACGTGAAACAAATTTTGAGTTTTATAGATTAAAATGACAAACTTTTGAGTTTTAAGAGGGCAATGGGATCAAAGTCGAGTGAATGTTAAGTTTCAAAGAGTAAAGTGACACTTTTAAGTACTGGGGGTAAAAGATTAAAAGTGAGTTTCAAAGAAGCGTATTTAAAAATAAGCCTAAATCAAGATATGCAATTAAGTTTTGTTCATATGTTCTTATTTCATTGACACGGAACACCAAGTAACGACCTAATCGTAATATGTAACTTATTCTCAATGTGGTGACTCTCTCGCTTTATTAACACATGATCACCTACGCCCCATCCTCATGTTCTATATCTCGAGAAAAAGTGTGGAGATTTCTGTTTTTGAGGCCAAAATGCTGTTGCTAATGATTTACAAATGAGTTTTGAGTGAGGATATTGACTATTATTCCAATAGAAGAGGCCAAATCAGATTCATTTTGTGTATAGTTTTCCTTTTATCCACCAGTAAAATTAAAGGAAACGCTAGTTAATGATCTGAGAGTATGGACATGGACATGGACGACGATCTGAAGGAAGTTAAAAAAAATTGACAAGAAATATGGCGATGGAGGGAGAAGGGAGGGAGGAAGAGGCAACGTGAGTGAATCCAACTTAAAATTAGGGTATAATTTATTTTCTCACTTTTTAATAAAATATTAATAAAACTTTTTTTAAAATCATTACGGGCACATATTAAGGACACTTTTGTTATTGTTAAAGACATTTTTGTAACCTAAAACTCTCATTAAGTGCGACTAACTTTTTGTTTTTTGTCCTTGTAATATAAAAATGTCATTAAGAATAAAGACGTTATCTGAGTACTCTTCGATGAAAAATGTTTTGGGGGGGACTTTTTATTACTTCTCCCAAATAAAATTTCAATTCCACCAACAAAGGTTAAGTGGAGGGATAGTTAATTACTAGGGTTGTAAATTAGCTCGAAATAGTTCGAACTCGCGCTGGGTTCGGCTCATGAAAGAATCAAGTCAAGCCTAGTTTGGCTCGAATAAGAAACAAACCTGAACATTGGTATGTTCAGCTCGTAAAACACGTGAGCAACTCGAGATTTTTGATGAAACAACTCGAGTTAAAATTGAGCTCGGCTCGATGTTCAAGCTTGACAAATAAGAATAAAATAAATGTCCTAAACTCTAGATTAAAAGTATTTTGTAAGAATGATATTATTATTATTTTTAATTTTTCATTTTGTACATTTTTGGTGGCTCAAGTTAAACTAATTCAATTACTTAAAAAAAAAAAAAAACTTAAAACGATAGTGTAATAGTGTTTCTTTTTTCTTGCAGAATTTGGTAGAAAGAGTAGTAATAGGTAAATCAAAATTTTAAATCAAATAATATGTCACAAATAAGAAATAAGTATGTTAATTCATATTTAATTAATAATCTAATTATTAACAACGTCATCAATTGGTTTATAAAACTTAATTTGTACGTTAATTAATATTATTTTTATTGTATCGCTTGTTTTTCTTATCAGCTAACCAAATTTCAGTTTACAGTGACAACCGTGTAATCGTACTAGCAAGAGCTCACGGCAAAACACGTAGGACCTTCCTCTTCAAATCCTTCTCTCTCCTCCAAACACATCTCCACTAAAAGCAAGGCCAAGTCACGACAAACACCAGTGGTGTGCACTATGCGCCCGGCTCACAAAAGCAGTCTCCGGAGCCCGCTTGCTCAATCTGTCAATCAACACCACGTGGAAGCGCGTATTAATTACTTCACACTTGGACCTTGGTTCTTCATTGATGTTAACATTTTCGTTTAATTAATTAAACCCACTAGACACAAACCAAATATTAATTAATTAATTAATTAATTTTGTTTAACAAATGATGTTATCTTTAGTAATTAATAAAACACTTATTATCAATCAAAATTTTATGAAATTACCATTTTAACCCTTTAATTAAAGCAAAACATAAATAAGAAATGTGATGCAAAAATGTAATTTCACACAACTAAATTTTTTTCAAAATCTCACCTACATATGATGTTAAAATACCTTAAATATTATAAAAAAAAAAAAATAAATAAGAATCAAAAACAAAAACCTTTCACTCCTCCCACGTTCTCTCTCTCCCTCTTCTCATTTTCTAAAAAAATGTGTTCATACACACAAAGTATGTAGGTAAATGCTAGTTTATATTAAGATGAGAGGTTGTGCTTAGTTTAACAATGAACTTGTAATAACATGGTTCAAATTTAGTTTTTACGAGAATTGAAACTACGATACCTTAGAAATACTAATAAACTATTGCACTAAGTGACAATTAATTAATTTAAATTAAAAAGTAAAAAATTAATTAATATATAAATAGAAACACTGAAAAGGTCCAGAGCCCATAGCTCTTTCTCTCTCTGGACTCACTACTCGCTCTCTTAGCTGAGAAAATCTCACACTTCCCGATAAGACCTGAACGGCACCGTCTGGAGACCGCCGGAAGTTGTCGAGCTCAGTAATTTTCCGGCTCGGCCTCTCCGGCAATGTGTAACTCACGCGCTCTGGTTGCACTTGTTCTGCTTCTTCACTCAGTAGTAGCTCTGGTCTCTGCGCAGGGATCTAGTAAATGGAAAACACTTAGCGGTAATCCTCTACAGCTCCGGCCTCTGTTTTGCTCCATGTATTATAAATCTTACTTGAATTTTTTGTTAATTTGTGTTTGGTTGCTGAGAAAATGGAGGAACGGGGATTTATTATGAGACTGAGGAAGTTAAAAATAGAAAGTCGTCGCTTAATTGCGTAGTATCTAGTGACTGTGCATGTTTAGTGGAATTAAGTGTATTGCTTGTTGAGTAGGAGGAGAAAGTTTGCAAATTCATAGACAAAGGAGAAGGAAAGTTTGTGATCTTCCTTTTTTGTACTGCTTTTTTCCCTGATTTCGATATTCCAAGCCGAAAAGCCGCTTAATTTATACAGACTGAAAGTGACACTGAGATTGAATTCGAATTCCGGCCAGGTCTTGGAGAATTGGTTTTTCCAGAGTATATTAATTTCCAGGGATTGTGAAACATGGGTTTCAAAATTCGAACGCTTTTAATCGCGTACGTCCTGAAGCGACGATCTTTTGGAAAGTTTTCATAAATTTCCAGTGATTTCAAATGGAAACATTTGCAAGAGTTTGCTTCTGCTGCCAATTGGGGCTCTAATATTTTTGTAGTACAACTTTTCCCCACTATATGTTCGGTGAGCTAACTGGATTGGTTCGGTTTGCAGGAGATCCGCCTAAGGTTGTAGCACGCGGAGGATTTTCAGGGCTCTTTCCGGGTTATAGTTCTGCGGCCTTCAGTTTGGCGTTGCTCACAAGTTTACAGGATGCAGTCTTATGGTGTGATGTTCAGTTGACGAAGGATGGAGCTGGAATTTGCTTTCCAGATCTCTTGCTGAATAATAATTCCAATATTGACATGGTCTTGCCAAAAAGGGATAAAAGTTACCTAGTTAATGGAGTTCCTACCAAAGGATGGTTTACTGTGGATTTTACTTTGGACGACCTAGCATCTGTTTCTGGTGAGTGCAAATTGTCTGAAACTTTTTCTGCTATATTGTTAATGGTCATGATTTTAACAAGGCTGTGCATATCCAAGTTATTTGAATATAGAGGTAGCAAAAAGGAATTTGCTTTTTTTACCCTCTTTTTATTTATGATTTATATGTTTTTATGTACGGTTGACTGTTGAATTTGAAGATTATGCCTTTTCATGTTCCGTTTTCAAGGGAATTTTTTCTTCTTATTTGCTTACGTGGGTGAATTAATTATGTTGCTGCCTCTACATGGTGAAACATAAAATTGAGTTGGAACAGCACAAAATAATAATGAAAATTTACAGCTAAACCCAACCCCATTTCAAACACCTCAAACTCACAATAAGAGTCCAAAATCACATCAAAAGATCGAAATTCAAATTTTAAAACTTTGCAATCCAAACATGTCATGTTTGATACATCGTACACCTATAACAATATATATTTTACTATGTTGTGTACGCTACATATGTACAATTTCATAAGTAATATTTACAATGTTACAAGTATATCTGAGATAACATGCTAGCTTGACCACCTCATATACTACTTCATGTATTTATGTGCATAGAATGTATATATCGCGATGAAAACAAAAGACAATGTGTATGTTAACTACTATTTTGTATTGTTGACAGAAACATTCATGTTGACTCCTATTATTTCTTACCGATTTCTTGTTACCCATACAGTTACTCAGGGGATATATTCTCGAACTAATAGGTTTGACGGCAATCAGTACCCAATTCTCCTTATCGAAGATGTTGCTACGCAATTCAAACCTCCAGGCTTATGGTTGAATATTCAGGTATAAGATAAACTATACCTTTCTCTTGTCTTTAGAACTGTGCACTCATGTTTTAACCTTTTTCCTTTAGATTTCTATATTTGTTTGAAGCAATGTCTTTTCTCTAATGCTTTTGCAGCATGATATCTTCTTCTCACAACACAACTTGAGTATGAGAAAGTATGTGCTTTCTGTATCTAAACAAGTGGTTATCAATTATATCTCATCACCGGAGGTGGCTTTCCTGAACAGTATCAAAGCACGGGTTAGTCCGAGTGCAACAAAGCTGGTCTTTCGGTTTTTGGGACAAGATGAGACGGAGCCTTCAACCAACCAAACTTATGGTTCTTTATTAAAGAATCTCACATTTATCAAGACATTTGCCTCCGGAATTCTAATTCCTAAAATTTACATATGGCCTTTCACCAAGGATAATTATTTAGAGCCTCACACTCCAGTTGTAACGGATGCTCATAAAGAAGGGCTAACAGTATTTGCGTCAGATTTTGTGAATGACTATCCATTAGCTTACAATTACAGTTATGATCCAGTGTCTGAGTACCTGCAATTTATTGACAATGTTGACTTCAGTGTTGATGGTGTGCTGTCTGACTTTCCAATGACAGCATCTGAGGCCATAGGTAATTTTCTTTTTCCTGTTCATAAGATTTAGTTCTTTTTAGTACGTAGCGCTATATCATTTGAAGGAAAGTTTTAATGCATCGTGGGATGCATATAAATGACCAAACAATCTAGGTACTGAAATCAATATAGCTCCTAATATGAACAAATTTTTTTTTTCTACTATGATCCCTTATAACTGATCTAAGTTGGTTATAAATGTTTCACAAGAGATCACAAGGAAAAACTCGTGGAAAGTTAATTTAAACGTTAATTATTTGTTGCTTATTTCAACTTAAAGAATTAAAGTTGTGCTTGATGATGTTGATTTCTCTTAACTACTGCAGATTGTTTTGCCCATCTTGGAAGTAATGCTTCAAGACAAGGTACATCATTGTTTGTCATGATAAGATTTAAAAAATTGACCCTTTCTTTCTGCTGAGTTGATATACATAAATTCTGACTTTTTATAGTGACATGCGCAAATACCTGAGCATTATTGCTAATCTATTCTTTCATCTATCTCATGATCCAGCCAAGCCATTGGTTATCTCGAAATACGGAGCAAGTGGAGACTTACCAAGTTGTACTGACTTGGCATATGAAAGAGCAATTGCAAATGGGGTAGATGTACTAGATTGTCCTGTACAAATATCCAAGGATGGAATACCATTCTGCGCAAGTTCTATAAATCTTATAGATAGCACGACAGTTGCTCAATCACCTTTTAACAGCCTCACAGCGTTTGTTCCAGAAATTAAGGCTGGCAGTGGAATATATACCTTTAGCCTAGCATGGAAAGACATTGAAGGCCTGACCCGTAAGTAGAGAAATAGAGTAGAGTCTCATTTGCTTGCTGATCACTGTGGCATTGAAATTTACTGTTTTATGTATTTATATGATCTCTTCACAAACCATAGAACCTTTAAGGCTATATGAGATTTCATTTTTAAGACATCCGTTTCATAGATTATGATATAACTCAGACTGGTGATGAACATTCCTTTTTTTTTTTCTTCCTTTTCTAAACAAGTCATTGGTAAAAGTTTCCAACTTTCTAATACACCTGTATTTCTTGAGTGCCACTGAGTTTTAATTTTACACATGACCACTTACCTTGATATCTTAAATTCTTATATGCCATGTAGTGAGACCCTTTTCAAGAATGTTTGTTACCTCATAAGAATTCATAAACAAGAAAACTTTTCGTGAACAATAATTTGACTCTCTGTATTATCTTTTTTTCTTATTTTAACTGTAGCAACAATATCAAATCCCTGGTCAAAGTTCACGTTGTTCCGGAATCCAATGTCCAAAACTGGTGGCAAGTACTTGACATTATCTGATTTCTTGGCCTTGGCAAAGAGGTCAAGTTCTCTTTCTGGTGTCTTGATCGACATAGAGGTGGGTATTTGCTTCATCTTTCACTGCTTGGCCTATGATATGATTTCATGCTTTGGTTGTTGGGAAGTTTCAGTAGTTATATTTCCTATTTGGGACTCCAAATACAGTTTCACCGTGTCATTATCATTCTCACTTCTTCCCCATCCTGCGCTTCTTTCCTTACAACTTTAAACCTGGCGTTGGGGATCTCGTTGATGGGTGGATATGAGAGAGCTAACTAATGGTTGCAAATATGGCTGGATAATATATCCTAGTGGAGTTAAATTGTAAATGACTCATCTACAGTCATTTGTTTTGGACATTGGGCTGGTTCAATGCCCAAGGTTCTGTTTCTCAATGGTCTGAAGTGACTTTTTTGTTCATTGTCACCCCAATTCGAACCTTTGTTATGGCGGTAACATTTTGTTCATTGTCACCCCAATGGTCTGAAGTGACTTTTTTGTTCATTGTCACCCCAATTCGAACCTTTGTTATGGCGGTAACATTTTGTACTGCTTTCTTTCAGTATGCAGCGTATCTTGCAGAGAAGCAGAAATTAAGTATAACTGATGCAGTCATGAATACCTTGAGCAAAGCAGGTTTTGATAGTCAGACAGCTTTAGATGTCAAGATTCAGTCCGCTAATAGTTCTGTTCTGATGAAATTCAAGGAGAAAACCAGTTATGAACTTGTTTACAAAATTGAAGAGGAAATTGGTGATGCCCCTAGTTCAACTATTGAGGACATCAAGAAGTTTGCCGATTCTGTGGTCATCAAGAAGGCCTCTATCTTTCCTGAAGTCGAGGCATTTACCACTGGTGTAACAGATGTTGTATCAAAACTACAAGCCGCTAAGCTTCCAGTTTATGTCGAACTCTTCAGCAACGAGTTTGTGAGTCAAGCATGGGACTTCTTCTCAGATCCAACTGTGGAGATCAATTCATTTGTCTCGGGGGCCAATATTGATGGTGTTATCACAGACTTCCCCAAAACGGCGGCGAGATACAAAAGTAAGTGTGTACTTGTATACAATCCTTTCAGGTCCGACTGATATTAGATACATCAGTGCTTTGGAGATTATTACCGGGAGGCAAGTCCATTTTAGCCGCTAAGATTACCAAATATACGTCAGCGATTAATATTTTGGTGCTTGATTGTTGCAGAGAACCGGTGTTTAGGTAAAAAAGAAATACCTAACTACATGAGTCCTATTCAGCCAGCCAGTCTGATACAAGTTGTTACCTCTGCGTATTTGCCTCCTGCTGAGGCTCCAAATCCACCCCTGAGGGAGAGTGATGTGATTGAGCCACCTTTGCCTTCCGTTAACGCCCAGGCTCCTGCGCCAACTGGTGGATCTTCAGTGGCAGCTTCACCTAAACCTTCCGGGCAGCCTAGGATTGCCGCATGCTTCTTCCTCTCGTATCTGGCTATGGCGATTGCCGCTCTTTTTGTGTTCTGAAACTGTGAGGCAGTTGCTCATATATTGTAAGTTACCCATCTTATTGCTCTTGCTTTGGAGCATTTTGCTGAATGAATATACCGGGGCTAGCTAATCATTATTTTATTTTTAACTTGACTACGGAATAGCCGTGCATTCAGGCTTTTGATGTTGTAGGTAATTAAATTCCTCATTCTTCTCCTCGTAAATTTCTGGATATCTTCATGCTTATTTATGCCGTATTTTTTTTATTTGGTGGGTGTATTTGTACTCATGAATCATCATGTATTCTTTGGGTGTGAAAGAGTTTTTATCGTTCGTTTATAGCAAACCATTAGCCCCTAAATTCATCAAGTGGTTGGGGATAAATTTCAAGCTTGTATTCCACACGACACGTATTGGGTTCGGATAACTTGAGTGCCCTTGAAATGAAAAACCAGAAATTTGGCTTCTCCTAACTTCTTGAACTATTAACCACCAAATTTAAAGTAAAATAAAAACTCATATCCCATCAGTGTTCAAAATAAATCTATCTCCAATCTCCATACACCAAGAAAGGCCGTGGAAAGAAAGATGTATTTTCAGTTTTTTTTTTTTCCCGAAGTTTAGTAATGATGATCTAGCTCGGTTTAGTCTATAACTAGAGTTGTTGCTCGTGCGTTGCTGCGGGAATGTCAGATAGATTGTAAAAACACTGCATTAATGGATGCCCACTGAAGCCACAGAATTTCAAAACCGTCGCAACTGATGGAGCGCATAGACCATGCTAAGCCATTTAAAATCCAACCACGAAACATGATCAATACTAGTGGACAAGATGACCAGCCTCTGTGTCATGATTTAAAATGTAATTTGAGTAACAACTTGATATCCGGTATACATTTCATCTGATAATTGACTAGCACACGATAATGTGACTTAACGAATCCAACCAAAGATTAAACTGCATACAAGGAATCTAAACCATATATACTTTATAGGTCATCTGCAAATGTAAGGCATTACTTACATGAAACTCAAGCTCCACTGATCTGCAACATCGTTATTTAATTTGCAAATCAATGTATAAATTGTAATATGCACTTGAGAACAACCTTACTTAGTCAATGAATGCATATTACCACAAATTGTCTTTCTTTAACCTTTCCTTAACACATCAATAGCGATCTCAATGAAAGGTAGAACTAAGCATTGAAGCATTCAACAACTTGCTTAGCTTGTATGTATTAATAATCAATCAAGGCATCCAAATGATTGCAAGTCATAGGAAAATGTACACATACGCCAAATATTCATTCATGCAACTTAACATATTATTGTCTTCTGAGTCATGGTTTATTTCCAATTTCATCAATTTCATCAACCAAACCACGTATACACGAAAGACAGAAACGCTTGAATAGATTCATACAAGTTAACTTAATGCTCAAAATTTTCTAATCATGAACAATATGATTATAAAAGAATTTATACAGCTATCACAAATAAGTTAATGAGTGTGAAGCCCAATTTTCTTTCACTAATTCTCTCACTTGGGCAAACACCCATTAATATATTCTTCTAGAGAATGTACCAAATAAAATTGCTTCATATTTTAGACATAGTAGAGTAGATACCAAAACCAACATAAAGTTGTCAAACAGAATTTCAATAATAAGTTCAATTACTTTGGAATTTACCATAATTAGTTCATAACTTTAATTTTTACTAAAATTATACAGATCAAACTAGATATACTTATCTTCATATAATACTAGTATATGCCCACACAAAAAATGTGAAAATTTTCACTTTGGTTGTTAAAATTGAAGGAGAGAGGAAGAGATTTTTTTTTTTTAAATTTTAAATTAGAGATGATAAACTTACATGTGAGTGAGGTTTAAAAAAAAAGAGCAAAATTTTGTTTTGTAAAATTACGTTATTGTCCTTAACTTTTTTGTTGTGATAGAAAACAAAAATGTCTTTTCACCCTCTTTTAGTTAACAAAGAGAGTTTCATTAATGTAGTTTTAGATAAAAATATGGAGACGTTTTAGGTCCAAATCGGAAGACGCCGTAACAAGCGGCACAATAAGTCTTAAAGCACTTTTTAACGCAGAAGAAGCCCAAGCTTTTAGTTAGTTAAAAGAGGTGTACGGGGCGATACAACCAGCAGTAATAACAATCAAAGCCGTAGGTGGGTATTCAAATAAAGGGGAGCACCTTGCTATCATGAAAACGCCAGCTGTTACCATAGTCTTCTTAGAATTGATTTATCCGAATCTATAACCACATTCTCTCGTTCTCGACTTTTATACAAAGTGAAATCGGTTATTAAAATTAATGAATTACGCATATCGATGTACTGTGGGTTGCTGGCCCAGCTCAACGCTATGGTCAAATCCAGGTTGCAACCTTGAATCGGAGTTTTCATGCTCATACCAACCAAAATTCACTACGGGTAGGGTGAGAATAAGAAGGGTGGATAGCCTTGTAGATTTGTTCCCATGGTTCAATCCTTCCCAGTAAAACGCGGCGTGTTCGAATTCTGATCGCTTTTACGCGAGAAAGGGGGACACCCTCTAACCAGGGGCTGTTTTTCCGACAGGAGCGCTAAAGCCCTTGACTCCTCCGCAGGTAAGCTTGTTCTTCTTCGATATTTTCTTCTTCGTTTGTGTGGATGACTGATTGATGCTATGTGGATGTAGGTGAAATGAGTTTTTTTTTTTCAGTGATGTCTTTAGCCTTTGAGAAAGGAAGGCAAGGAAGCTAGCCTATGTGGAATGGAAGAAAGAAGTCAAGCCCGTAAAGCAGAAAAGTGGGCGCCGGCCGGTATTTCGACCAGATATCCCCCTAAAAACCGTAAAATCGGGGTGATAGCTCGACTTGGGAAATGGGAGAGAGATCAAACGGATATAGCACGTCCCATTTTTTTTATATGAAATCCACACTTTGACACTGTTGGGAACAGGTTTCGCCTTTCTCATCGGGCCTTGGCTTTAGGAGGTTTTTTGGAATGTTCTTGGTAGGTGGTTCCACTTGTTCAGCGCGGGGGGGGGGGGGGGGAGACCTGTTTGCTCAGAGTTCGGGGCGGAGATTGTTCGTTGACGGCTCGTCGAATGAAAGCGGAGCTAGAGGTCTTTTTACTTTCGTTTGGGCCATGGCGGCCAGTGCTCCTAAGATCATAGAAGCAATGCTGCAGAAAAAGAAGATTTGTTGCAATGTAGCCATAATTACAATTCATGGCAAACAATTAAGAAAATTTGTAGAACATTAGTAGACATAATATGTTGAACATATCAAAACTTGATTTCATTTGATGACCATTAGACGAGTTATTCGTCTGACTTAAATAAAGACACACAATCTACTAGAAAAATTTTGTGCATCTATCATGAATCTATATATTTATACCAAATTTAATTTCATATCACTTCAATTTCGAGGTCCACATGAAGCTCAAGAAGTCCAATTTCATCCTCTAAATAGATATCATAGCTCAAATTGAAAAAACTTACAAGCATAATACTCAAACAATGTGTACCTGAGCAATCCTTGAATAATCTTCATGGGTCCAATATTTTACATCAACAAGTCTCATGAAGAGACACAAAAATACAGCATGATGCAACCGATTTCCATGCCTCAAAACCACAAAGTATTATAGGGCTCTTAATGGAAATACTTGTAACTGAAGACATGGTACCTAATCCCCAATAAACTTCATGAAACTAGATTAATTTACACATGTGCTAAGAAAACTAATAAGTCAATAGTACTAGATTATATGTGACAAGAGTACCTTTATGGAAAATGTCAACACATGTAGGCAGATGAAGCTTACATAATTCTTGTGAGCTAGAACTCATATTATGCCATCGTAATTAAGCTAAAAGAAACAATTTGCACATGTGAGCAAGAAGATTACCCCTTCTATCCTAATTAAGATGCAATGTTGCTTGAAGTAACTTAAAACACATTTCCTGCATCAATTAAGCGGTTGTCGCTTGCTTAGTTGATACAAGACATTGATCAACTCCAGCCTAATTAAAACAATACAAAAGTCACATGGATTAATTAGTTGTAAGTGACTAAATTATGATAACCTGATTCAAGCTTTGAGTCAACAAATGACATTAATTTAATAGTCTTCTTCATGACTCCCTTTGATATTCAATTAATCACCTGAAACCTGACCGCATAAAGAGATTAATTACATATAGAACAAGTTGTATAAGAACTATAATATCACACTTTCACCATCAAGATGTCAATACTTATGAGAGAACATTATGGAGCTAATTGCTTAAAAATTGAAATACTTTCTGTTGCGAAAGAATAATACAATTGCTTTAATTCAAAAGTCAATTTGTGATATCACCTAAATGCTTTCTTAAGTCAAACGGGTTCCTTTTGTACCTTTCCTTCCATAGTACAAGACTAGTAAACATTAGCATTAAAAATCATACATTAGTTTTGTAAATAAAAGAACAAGCAAAATTCTTTTCTTCCAAAGGAAACATTTCCAATACATGCCATATATTAGCCTTGAATGATTACTCCTTCCCTTATGGCACATAGGAGTTGACTGATTAAAGCATTTTAAATTCTTTAGGCATAGAAAAAAACTAAAAAACCACAATACAAGTTTGAAAACTCATTCTTATCAATTAAGTCACATGCTTTGAATGAATTCCATACCTCATGTGCTTCATATGTTCACCACTTCTTTATAAACATATATATAATCAAATGACCAACCATAATTCTCAAATAAAAATAAATAAAATACAAATAAGAATTGTCACATAATTACTGCAAACTTGCCACTAGATGCTTTCTTACACATTCTTGAAATGAAATACCCATACCTGTAATGCTATACACGCTAACAAATGTAGTCGAAATTTATATTGACTTACTTTCATATATAGATACATATAAAACTTAGTATATACATTCCTGCAATGGAACTTTAATATATCTTACCCCAATCATATATATATATATATATATATATAGGCACAATATACCAACAATAGTATTGGGACAGTCTAAAAAGAACCAATTTCGTCTACTGTAGTGAGAAATACGTCAAGCAATATTTGAATTGTTATGCCTCTTTCTTAATTCCAATATTTAGGTTACAGTCAAATTGAGTTTGAATATTCAGTTGCTTATACCAGTTCGAAAACTTTCAATGCCATTGAAACAAGGAAAAAAACAAACTATTCCAGATAATAAGGAGATGTCACGGCATAGGTGAGTTCTGCAAGAAGCAATTAATTGCCTTACGAAGTCATCGCAAAATATTGTCAATAATCAACACCAAAAGGAAAAAAATTCTACCATAAACTGATAATCCAAATCGAAGTGATGAAACACAACGATCTGTTTTGGCAAATGATGGCTTGCTAAGTGGGAAGGCCGCATCAGTTTTCTAGTTGTAAATGGTAAAACATTCCAACCAAAAACATTAATTAGCATGAAAATTGAAATAGAAAATCTGAAATATGCCACGGTTTTCATTCGTAATTATCCAATGAAGTGAGTAATCAAATTTTCTTTATCATCCCTTTATCAGAACTGTTGCTGGCAATCAAATTTGACTAATCAAATTGGCTTTTGAAAAAAATTACATGTACTTGCTTGATCAAAATACCAGCGACCTCCAGACTTCGGTGGTTCAACCAAACCATATTATATGCAATAAAAATGCCTGCATGAAAATGCTATCAACAGAACCATATATATGCAGTTATAATAGGTATGGTTTGGAAAACTGTTGGAATTAGAAGCTTACTCCACGTTTGGATCCCACAGTAAAATATTTATATGATGCCACGATTTGTATATATGCTTCTCCGCATTATTATAGGATTTCATCATATAACTTGGCTTTGATACAAATTGTTAGCCTTATATGGCCGTATAATTAAAACACAAAGGAGTTGGCATTAAAACACAAAGAAGGAGTTGGCTGGCCTGATTCCAACGACAACCATGGAAGTCAAACATGAAAGGATGAAAGGTGCGGTAACACCAAATTAAGTCTTCTACAAACACCTAGCCGGATACAACCACTTTATGGGAAGCATTCTGTTGTGTGTGTCTAGGGCTTGCAGAGTATTTATAGGCAATAGGGTTCCGTCCATAAAGGAATCTCAAATCTCAAATTTTAAGTCGATCCGTTAGGTATCATAATTACATATAATTATGGACTCCATCAATCTTAATTGTATTCTAAGACTCCTAATATAAGATTGACACATAAGATATCAAATCACAACATCTACATTAATCTCCAATACTACATTTCTATTATATGTTGTAGATCATTTAAAGGTTGATTTGTATTTGAAAAAATCCAACATGTCAATGATATTGATTTAAGTTAGCGTTGTTGGAGGAGTGAAATAAACTTATCAGAGGCTGCACCGGAAAAGATCCTAAGTGTCATATATATGAGAAGAAAAGAGAAGAAAAGGGAAAATTTTCTTTGTTCCCTCACTTTCTTTGACTCAGTTTATTCTATCTTTCTCCTAATTATTCAGATGTTGCCATCGCGTAATGCTTTTGTATGAATGATGTCAGTAAACGGAGGTTTTCTAGTTATTTTTCTCATTAGTGACTTGAAAGTTGGTCTTAATCAAGATTTGTGGTACTGATTTATTCACATGACAAATGCAGTCCACCATATATGATTAGGTAATTGAACAGTAAATAGAAAGATCTCAGGATTAGGTATTTTTTTAATGCAAAATAAAATAAGAAATTAATTGTTAGTACCTAAATTATAAGCAAGAGCAATTTTGGTCACATTAGTTAAGCTTGAGTGTGATTTCTGTACATTTTTATTTATCTGTGTATTATGAAGTGAAGATAGAAAAGGAAATATTTTCCATGATATGGTTGTCACATTTCACCTAACCATTTTTCCATAAAATAGTTTTCAAATTTCGAACTATTTTCGCACCTTGGCAAACAATTCACTTTTTGGATGTTTCCATTTGCCAAAGAACGTTACTTTTTTTTTTCTGTGAAATTGGTTGGAAAGAAGTACATGTAAACTTCCTTTTGGCAAGACATATGACGTTCTTTTCAAAGTCATGTTCTTGTCTAATATGGCAACTAAAATTAGAAAAGTTAAGGGAAAAAACATGGGTGATGAACTCAATCGTCGTGAAAAAAACTAACACATGTATTTATTTTATTGGCACGAAACGTTATTATAGCGGTATATCCATACCATGTAAATCTTTATCCTATGTATGGGCTGGTTTAAACGAGTACACATCTTGATAATTAGTATTAAGCATTGCATTAAGCTAGACCCACTGGAGACTATTTTGTAGACTATTTTGTAGAAAACATTTTTACTAAGAGCACATTGTTGTAAACTAACCTAGAAAAGTAAGTGTGTGTGTGTGTGTGTGTGTGTGAGAGAGAGAGAGAGAGAGAGAGAGAGAAGGCTCATGTGTATGAGACTTGTATGTTCACCCATGGCCTTGTATCTTTATTTATACTAATTATAATAAGCTTTCTTGCCTACCAATTAATACAAAACTAATTGGGATTTTACTTTAAGTTTACATATTCACATTCTTAATTGATAATACCGTGTTTACAGGACACTTACAAATTTGATTGATAAGTCAAGTACTTTTTAGAAAAGAACTAGAAGTGCTTTATAAAGAAGTACCTAACTGGTTTTTCTTCATAGTGCTTTTTAAGATTTTTTCTAAACGCTGTCAAAAACAATTTTTGCAGTGAGATGCGTTTTAACCCTTCAGAAACAACTCCAAGGTTTATGGACCACGGCCCTACTGGCTTGTTCAATTTTCTTGTCTCATATCATAATTCAGTTTATTTCATCAGATGTTTTCGTATAACATTGAGTATGAAATATGAGTTATACACACACATATAAGGTCAGAATCAAGAGACATTTTTAGGGTCCACTCCATATGTGTTTGAACGATCTACTTGTTTATCTTTTAGATCATTCCACAATGATCATCCTTATCAAAGTTAATCCGAATTTAAAATCATATGACCGATGTAAGTCATTTTTGTGTTACTTTGTAAAACCATATTCATTCGTTTCTTCATTACAAATGAAATGTCTTAATTGTTTTAGATTTTTTTAATTTTTGACAAGAATGGTAATGATGAATTGAAATATAAACAATTTGGATCCTTGAAAAAAAGTTACGCAAGGAACCAGCGTAAAACATGTGTCCTTGGTCTATACCTATATATATAAGGTTAGGATCCAAAGACATATGTTTTTTATACACATTTTAACAAATGTTTTTGTTGGGCCCAAAATCGTAATGTAATTCAAAGATTCAGTCATCGACCTTTTATCTCTGACCTCAAAGATCATGTCTACCAAAAATTTCAATGTTTCTTTGTAGAACTGTATTCGTCCATTTCCTTCTCTTAATATGGGGTTTGCATCTAGAGATACATATTTTTGACACACATTTTTGTGGGCCTACTCCGTAATGTATTTCAACAATTCGAACATCATCTATCTTTTATGTCATCCCTCAAATATCATGTCTTCTAAAAATCACCCAAATCCAAAATCATGTGACTGTTGGCTTAATTTTAGTGTTTCCTTGTAGAATTGTATCTGTCAATTTTCTTCTACAAATGGATGTCTTCACGGTTTTGAATTTGTGTCTTTTTTTTTTTTTTTTTTTTGTAAAGATAATCTATTAATGATAAATGAAGACTATTAAAAAAAAATTTAAATGATAGTAGCCATAAAAGCATATGTCAAAATGTGTGTTTCCAAATCCTAATCATATCCATGCAATTATATGATCATAATTCATAAAGCAAATAATGCAGCCTCAAGTTCAATGAAAGAAACAGAATCATCTCGTAGGAAGGTTCTTTAATGGAAAGACAAAATATCTGGCCATGGTTTATTTGGGAAGCAACATCAAAGATTGTTCCCAGAAATTGCGTGTCCCCCACAACATATCCAACTATCCAACGCATGCATAAGCATGACCCAGGGACCCCATAAGCCATTAGCCTTTTCGTTCTTTTTCCATCAAACGCTAAAATAGTGGCATTGACGTTTGACCATATCATGAGGCGTGGCACTCGTGTAAAACAGCTATTAAGGTTCCCAAAACCTCAACACTACCCCCACAACGTCACCACAACGTCCTGCAGACGTCATATATATAGAGAGGTGTATCATGTAGTCCCTGGAGCTCAAGCAAAGTTGTGGCCTTAGTGGCAGCCAATCAAAATTCACTTTGACCTTCAAAAATTACACCAACTCTTCTCTCTCTCTCTCTCTCTCTCTCTCTCTCAGATTACTATATATACATCTGCAAATATCTTCATTTTTCTCACATTATTTGGCAGAGAAGCTTTCAAATTTCAAGCCAACCTTTTAAAGACTGATAAAATATGCCTGAGAAAGATATTTCAAGTGTCCTGAAAAAACCTCGTCTTGTGGTGAGGAACTTCTTGGCCAGGCCTCAGCATGAAGGAGTTGGAGCCATTGTTAGAAGGAGCATAGGGAGGTACGTAATATATTGATCACTGAGTTGTAAAGCCAGATCGAACCTTTCTGCCTGTTTTTTAACTAACATAAATGGAATGCTGAGATATTTGAGATGGCTGAGTCAATGGGTGGTTGTGTTTTTTGCAGGTTCGAGCTGAAATACTTTGATCCTTTCCTTGTTTTGGATGAGTTCTCAGGTGGGTTCTCTTTCCTTTATTATGTTTCTTTATTGAATACAGGAATTCATTTCCACTAGTAAGTAGGATGTTTCAGATTCGATTATCATGAATCACGAGTTTGATACTTAATAGGCTTTGCCTAGCCATCCCCAATATCGTTCTGCAAAAGAAAGTTGTTATTATTTTCTAATATTGCTGTTGCAATTGCAGTTACTGCTCCTGCTGGTTTTCCGGATCATCCACACAGAGGATTTGAGACAGTGACCTACATGTTGCAGGTATAGAAACCATTTATAATCATTTTTTATTTGCTGGAGAGCGGTATCATTTACATTTCTAGCTAACCCATTTCTTATAATTTATCCCAGAATTAACTTTATTAAAAAAGTCCCTCTCATCTGAATAAATTTAATCAGTGAAATAACTAGCTATTGTTTTGATAATTAACGGGTGAACTTAATTAATTACCTTATTTAACCGCAATTTCATGTGTTTTGGGGTGATTAGGGAGCTGTGACACATGAAGATTTTGAAGGGCACAAAGGGACAATAGGAGCTGGTGACTTGCAATGGATGACCGCAGGAAGAGGTATCCTTCACTCAGAAATGCCTGCCGCCCAGGGAACCCAAAAGGGTTTACAATTATGGATAAACCTCTCCTCCTCGCAAAAAATGTATGTATCCCTACCTTAATTATCAATTCATTTAGACACATTGACCATGCATTCAAAACTTGTAAATGGGTTGGCTGCGTGACATATACTTGATGTCATCTAAGCGTCATGCATTTTAGGCATCATACTAATTTCATAGCATATAGTCTCGCAACATAAGATGAAGATTATGTTACACACTGAACTTATAAATAATTTTTTAAGTGAATTTACGTAAAAATGAGTTCAAATGCAACATAAACATAGTTTGATAATATAAGTATCGTAAGAGAACATTATACACATAGATATAGGATATTCTCAAGGAGATTGGTCATCATAGGATTATCCTTTTTTAAAAGTGCTTTATAGATACTGTGAAACTATGGGCCTTTTTACTCGTATTCCACGGTACTTAGGAATATTGAATAAGCTTTGACAGATAATAAGAGTTGAGACTTTTATTATGGTTGGTTTTATGTTTGGTCAATAAATGAAGTCTGAATAACATTATTTATTGTTTAATCGAGAAATAATTTGGGTAAATTAACACAGGATTGAGCCAAAGTACCAAGAAATACTGAGCAAAGACATTGCAGAGGCTTCAAAAGATGGGATCACAGTTAGGGTAATAGCTGGAGAAGCCTTGGAAACAAAGTCACCAATTTACACAAGGACCCCAACCATGTACTTGGACTTCACCCTGAAACCAGGAGCGCACTTGCAACAGCCAATACCAACATCCTGGAATGCATTTGTCTACGTGTTGGAGGGGGAGGGTACTTTTGGAAGTCCACAATCTTTGCCTGTGACAGCCCACCACCTTCTTCTTCTTGGAATTTCTGGGGATGGCCTGGAGACATGGAACAAGTCATCCAAAACCCTAAGATTTATCTTAGTTGGTGGTGAGCCTCTGGGGGAGCCTATTACGCAATTTGGACCCTTTGTGATGAACAGTCAAGAAGAGATTGATCAGACCATTGAGGATTTTGAAAATTGTGTCAATGGATTTGAGAAGGCTAGACATTGGAGTTCTGGAGATCCACTTAATTAACCCTGAGTTTTAGTTCCTGTATTATTTGAGAATTTATTTGTTGCTTTAATTAAATCAAATTCTGGGCCACAAAATTGTTCAAGACTGAGGAAATATGAACTTAAGTGCTTCTAGCATTCATCTGGGAAGCTTAACTGATTCACTAGTATTATTGCCCCTTGTATTTGTTAATAAAGGAGGCCTAAAAGCTGTTGTTTACACTTTACATGCAATTGTATTATACAAAATGCTAGACTCATGTTCAGGATTCCATTGTGAATCTAGTGAAATATTTCTTTTTGCATGGTTGTAGCTTCAAACTTATTAATCATACCAATATTGCTTTGATATCCAAGGTGGATTGTACTCTGAAATTGTTGATCAATTAGACCTATTAACTTATGTAATGTTAGTTATAAAATAATTAAAAAAATCATTGTTAGCAGATTGAATCCAATTTTAAATGATTGATCAATGAGCATTGCCCTTGGGAAGTCTGTATACACGAAAATATTCTTTATTGCTCATGAGTTGTTCACTCAGTCCAAATCAAAGAAAGGAAGGATCAGATCAATGGCGGTGAAATTTGATTTGGAAAAAGCTTATGATCCATTAGATTGGAACTATATTAAATCAATTCTTTCTAAATTTGATTTAGTGCTAGATGGATTGATTTGATTATGGAGTGTATTATTTCTGCTTCTTTCTCTTGATTTAACTAATGGTGAGGAAAAATGTTTTTCTACCCTTCAAAGGGTATTAAACAGGGTGATTTCCTCTCACCGTTTATCCTTCATTTTATGCGTGGAGCCTTTTATTAAGCAGCTTAATAACTTGGCTTCAAAAGAACAGGGTGATTTTCCCTCACCTTTTATTAAGCAGCTTAATAATAGCTAAAAATCATGTTGGTATCTTATCTTCTCCCCATGGTTTTTAGAATTTCTAATTTGTTTTTGCCGATGATTGCTTGATTTTCAGTAAAGCCTCTACTAAAGCTGCTAGAAGAATTTTGGGTATTCTAAATCAATTTTTCGCTGCCTCCGGTCAGAAGATGATTAACTTCCACAAATCTCCCCTTTATTTTTAGAGTAATACACTAACAACTTGAGAAATGATATTGTGGCTACTTTATAAATTCAACACAGAACTACTACGAAAATGTTAGGGAAACCAAAATTATTTATTTATTTTTTTTTTTGGAAAGATTCCGTTAACTCCAAGGAACTTTCATTAAGAATTCAGAAAAAGTATGCAAATTGGAAAGTCAATACCCTTTCTTGTGCATGGAAGTTAATTCTTATTAAATTTGATTTGGCTATATGTTGAACCATGTTATGGCGTGTTTTAAATGCCCAAGCAAAGTTGTAATTACAACTAACAAAGAAAATAAAAAGTTTTTGTGGGGTAAAGCGTCCCCTAGTACTTGGAGAGACGTTTGCTTACCTAAATCTATTGGGGGAGGGATGGGGATTAGAAATGTTGGGCATTTTTTAACAATGTTTATTTGGCCAAGCTTGCTTCGAAGACTAATGAAAATAGTTGGTGGGTGTAAGTTGTGAGACACAAATTTGAGAGATGAGCATTTCCTTACAACGAAATTCCGGCAAAACCTTTCTTTGGCCTACAAAGGAATCTTTTTTTTCTTCTCTAGAAATGTACTCTACAAAGGGATGATGTGGGTTGTGGAAAGGGAACTTTAACGAAAACTTCCGGTACTGTTTACTTTAACAAAAAATCACATTTTTACACTAAAAAGTCAATCCTGATACTATTCACTTTACCTTTTATTTTGTCCTTATCGTTAAAACTCAAAGTTTTCAAGTTCTTTTTTTATCAGTTTTCCTAAAAGAGAACTTTAACCGGGTTTTACACTAATGGTCAAAACATTATGTTTTGGACCCATTTTTCCTTCATATCCTAGAAGCACAGATGTTATAAATATCAACTGGAACTTTAAAGTTAATGATGTCTAATGAATAGAAGATGGGACAAACAATTGATTTGTCTCTTGTTTCCACTGATGTTGTAAGTAAAATATGTATTATTACTCTTCCTTTGCAGGATAAGCCTGATGAGTTTGTGTAGGGACCTTCTGCTAAAGGTGTTTTCTAAGTCAAAACTGCTACTTGATTCCAAGTTGAGGAAAGTAGAAATGCTCCCTATTGTATATAAGTAGGCATTGTTTTGTAACTTTTGTTCCTATTCATATTACTTTGTATTGTTTTGCCATAGAATATTGTATCCATATGCATTTTTGGTACATACTATATAGGTTATTTACAATTTTTTTTACACTACGGATTCATTCATTTGACTTTTATTGTTTCAAAGTTCTATGGTTACATTGTCTTTTTCTACCCATTTATTCAATGAAAATTTTCTTTTTCTAGTGTAGCCATTTCTAATTTATATACCATGCAATATGAGATTTTAAATCCCTTAACATGTCAAGTAATAAATGTCAAATATATGATATGCATATTAATAGTAATAATGAGGTGTACAAAGTGAAGGACTTTGATTAAAAATTGAGAACATTAAGGTTTCAATCAAAGCATGTGCATGAATAGGAACCAGATCCCTAGTCTCCCTTTTATTTTTAGTGATTGTGAATTTGTGGTATGGGATTGAATGAAAAATTTAACTGAGTACTATTTTTGTTTTGGATGATCACATGTGTTGTTGAATTTGCACAAGAGATAGAAGTATAAAGAAATAGCATAGCCGCAAGTTTGATGAATGCATCAAGCTAGACTATTTTTACACTGAACAACTTTACATATTTAATCTTTTTGAAGTTTGTATTATATAGTTGAGGGTATTTCAATTAACTCAAAAATATTATAACGTTATTATATATTTGATGGTTAGCTACTTTATTTCAATGAAGTAATTTTGTCGTAATAATTATTTAGTATTGTGGCTAGATAAAGTAAGGCAGGGATTATAAGAAAATATATATGTAACAAATTCACCAATATTTTATGTTTTTAACTACCTAATTAAATTACTAATACATCAGTAACATAACATGTCTTTTTTTGTTTTTTTTAATTATTATTAGTAAGAGTAGGATTACAAACCTTGGTTGCATGGGTAGAAGTTTAATACACAGCAGTTTTATATAAAAGTTTACCAAATACTTTGATAATGTTTTTTGTTTTTCAAAAAATGATAATGTTCTTTTTTGCTAAAAATATTTTTAACAATATAGTTAGCCAAACACAACTATTTTTGCCACTTAATACTAAGGTCTATGATATTTCTCTTCACTTGTAAGTGAGAGATCTTAGCCTCAATTGACATTATACTAGACCATTGTGAGGATAAGTCTGAAGGGAAAATATGAGATTTATGTGGGATTTCTAGTGACTAGCATGCATATACAATTCAAAATTTATATACGAAAGCAACGGAAGCATGTCATACATTTTATCAAAGCTATAGTCATGCAAATCCCCTTCAAGATGCATAGGTTTATATAAGATGCATCAAAAACAATTTATTGAAGAACAAAGTTTAGGAGTAGTTTTGTACCTCTTGATCTAGATCTAAGACCGAGGATTGACCACCTCCAAGCTCTTTGCTCCTTGAACTCCTTGAGCCTAGCCTCCCTCCTTGCCTCCTCCACTTTGTTGAGAATGAGTGCTCCTAGGTCCTCTTCAAGTTTCCAAAGATATGAAAACCTCTAAAGATCCTCACCCACTTTGTAATGAGAAAGATGAAGGAATTAACCAAAGGGTGATAAGATGATTAGCTAGAATTCCCTTTGGTGGCCGGCCCTTTGAAGTTTTTAGAGAGAATAATTCTCATTTCTTTTGTGTATCATGAACCACCTAACACACTCACACACACTTTCATTATATTATGTTCCTTTTATTTCTTAAAGAAACAAATCAACAATTGACTTACTTTCTCTCCCTTCTCATATGGCCGGCCTATTGTGTTTAATTTGGGCTTTGGGCTTTTAATTATTTCAAGTCATCCAATGCTTGAATAAAAGCCCAATGGGTTTTGGCCCAATGGGCCCGATTAAACCCGAACGTTTCTTTAAGCCCAAAACGATCTTTATCGCTTTTATGATTTCTTTAGACTTTCTAAATTAATCAAAACACTTAATTAATCCAATTAATTATTTCCTTCATCCATTAGTTACTCACTACAAGAGTGTATCGGTGAACAATCTTTTAGGTTCTAATTAGCAAGGCAGTGAGGTGATTGGCACCAATCCAATTGATTATCCAATCACTTAGTGATTTAAAACTTACTTTTAATTCACCTTCCTTTTAATGACTACATTTAATCATCTAGAAGAACTCACAAGCCATGAGTGACATCTAATCATATATCATGGCTACCCAAGCTAATGTAGAAGTTATTCGGAGAACCTATTCAGTTGGAATTACAATGTAATTCGATCCTTCTCTAAAACAATACTCTCAATCACATTACTAGGGTATGGATTTATAATGTCAAACCCCTAATGTGATTATTCCTTCTTATACGATTCATTTGAGACGTATAGGAACGCTTTCCTTTATTACGCTCGATACTTCGGCCGAAGATTCTCGAATCATATCTTAGAGTATTCATCCTCTCTTATCGAAGATTAGAGATTCCTTGTTGCGCATTCACTTGCCTTCATGGCTAAGTGGCTTAACCCCAACGATGCCTTGGACACTCTCGAATGGAATGACTTTAACATAATCAAAGATTAAGTACTTAACCACAAGACAACGAGATGCCTCAGGTCAAAGGATTACTTACATTATTCCAACCATTAGAGTTACTTGCTTGACATGTGAGTAGACCTCCATGCAAGTACTCTCGTTCGATTGTGTTCAGTGAACTCATTCCCTTAATGAGCACCTACATGCTTGTCTTAGTGTCGCTACACGAATGGGATGAGACTTTCCATCCTTCCAATTGAAGCGGACATAGTATGTACCAGTCTATGGATTGTCAGTATCCCTCCGACAATCCTTATGACCAGGAACCTTTTTGGACATGATGGTTATGAGAAGAAGGTCTCTGTAACCTAACATCATTAGGTTACTTCTTCCATCGATCCATTGTCCATGGATTCACTATTTAGGACATATTTCGTTCATTGAGATAGTCCCAATTAGTATCTTTGCCTTCCGATGTATAAGAGTCATATATATACATCAATTCATTGTCCTGAAAGGTTTCTTCCAAAGATTGACTTTCAGGGCATATTTCCAACAATCTCCCACTTGCACTAAAGTCAATCACTAGTGTATCTTATACATCCAACAATCTCCTTCTCTTATGCTCGTAGGTTAACTTGGTTATGTATTTAATCGCCTTTTATTTTAAAAGGGATTTACTTAT